GTGTGTGTGTGTGTGTGTGTGTGAGTGTGTGTGTGTGTGTGTGTGTGTGTGTGTGTGTGAATGAGTGAGTGAGTGTGTCCCAGCACTGGGGTTGCACGAATTAGTGCCCTCTCAGGGCAGGGCTGGAAGGGCATCCGGCGTAAAACATGTGCCAAATCGTTGTGTGGATCACTCCGCTGTGGCGACCCCTGATAAAAAGGGAGGAAGCCGAAGGAAGAGAGAGAGGAGTAAATGTGGAGGAGGTTGAGGACAAACCCTAGTATCCTCCAACATTCGGACATTCGTGCAGGAGGCTATTCAGACAAATTGGAATGTTTGCTACATGCTCAGCGGTGAAATGAATCTGTTTTGAGACCTGTGGACCCAAGATAATAAGTACATTATGGTAAGATAAATGTAGAAAATCTAAACAAAAAAATGTTTTATATGCATTTCTGACGTTCTCATTTGTCAAAGACGTTTCCCCGGATGTGGAGTTTCCGGTTACCCACATGGAACACGGTTCAATTACAGGTCATATTAATAGTACACAAAGGAGACAGGAATTCATTCTCCGGTAAGCCTACCGGCAAGCTTTGCAATCCAGTGACACTTAAGCCCATGTACCATGTACCACTTAAGCCCAGTGGCCAGCAACTGGCAAAGCAATACATTTATGCTATTTGGCTCATACAGGATGTAAACAAAACAAAAATGCATGAAATAAACAACATGAGTGTGTCATAATATAATTTAAGAGACTGACATCAAAGAGACTGACCTCTCCTGCTGTGCATAAGATTACTGAAAAATCCTGTAGATCATAGAGCCTATTTTATTCAAAATACTCTCTTTGATGTGCAGCCGTGCTTTAAACCAACCTATAGTGTCAGTTGTCACAGTATGTGCTGGACTTCATAAATCATTTAAAACCTGACACGCTGGACAGTTATGTATATGATATCACCACTCAGGCATCTCCCATAACTCACAGTTATGAACTTTTGACCTTCTGGGAACAAAAAGAAACTTTGACAATTCTTTTGTTACATTCCCTTTCAC